ACCAATTTGACAATAAATTTCATATTTAAAAAATAAAAATAAAATTTTTTTTTTAAAAAAAGCAATCCTTACCAAATCTAACAAGTGCATGTCACTATTTCGTACATCTTTTCCTGGGCTAAGGAGAAGACCAAAACACCTGCCAAAAAAAGAGAAGAGACATAAATTTGGAAAAAAACTACACAAACAAGATGTTTGTTAAATTAGGTCATGTTAAATGTTAAATGTTAAATTAGGTCACCTAAAATTCTTCTTGATGGATAAAGGACACATTAAAATTATTAATAAATTAACTACTGCCCAAATAATCCTTAATTCTTGAATTTACATAAACAAATTCTGCTTGGCTTTTATTATCACACAGTTGAAGTCAGCATATTAGCTGCAGATTTATGGGAGATAAGTCAAAGTGAATGAAATATTCACTTCAATAACCAAAAGAATTCCCCAGAGAATAACATTTTTCATATATATGGGAATATATATATATATACGTATATATATGTGTGTGTTTGTTTTTTTTTTTAAAGAAAGAAAGAGAGAGAGAGAGAGAGAGAGAGAGAGAGAGAAGGACAGAAAAGTGGAGGGAGATAGAGAATCTCGACCAGGCTCCACGTTCAGCACAGAGCCCAGCATTGGGCTCGATTCCATGACTCTGGGATCATGACCTGAGCTGAATTCAAGAGCTGGATGCTCAACCGACTGAGCCACCCAGGCACCCTGCAAATACATTTTTGAATATAGTATATGGTTACTCCACTAGACTGATAAAAACTAGAATTTATATTTAAGCTGAATTTACTAAAAATGTTTACCTTTCAATGGCAAGTTCTTTATTAGTTGTTTGTTGCACATAGATGACAATCTTTTTATCAGTTCCTTGGCGAAGTTTAAAGCATTGTCTGTCCTTCTCCTTAGGAACTGCACTGTAGGACAACATGTTTCATTAATTTTGCAAAGTATTTTCTTATGACATATACTAGAACAACTTCTCTTGAATCTAGGATTCTTTTCTGTGCCTGGTTTTCAAATCATAACAGAAATTTAAAACTCATCATCTGCCTCTTAATGTGAAAATATTACCATTACTGTAAGTAATCCGCTAAACAATGTATTTAAGCTAGAAAAAAACACTCTTATGCTCCCTAAAATGTGTCTTTAGTTTTTTTAATTTTCTGTTGCTGTAAAAATTAAGTTAGATATTTGTAAAGCACTTAGCATAGCATCTAGCACAGACACTCAAAAAAACATTAGTTTCTTTTCAGTTTAGTCAGGTTTTTTTTTATAATTATTGCCTTATTTGTTTAAATAAAGAAAAAATACCTAATCATGGAGTCTTTGAATTTCAAAACAAGGTGCCTTCAAAAAATAACAGAGATATAAGATATGGCCAAAAAGTAAGCTGTTGCCTAACACTTCCCTCAAGCAGTGATAACACTGTAAACATGTGCAGGCATTATAAAAACAATATTAATGATACAGTTAAACATTACCTTAAGAAAAAAGTTGAAAATATCCTTAAAATTAGAGTTTACCAAAATAATCTCCTACTCTCTCACACACCACCTGCTCTAGCTCCTTTGTTCTCAAAGGCAAACATCTGCCTATGGCAATCAGCCAACATGCAGCAAATATAAATTATGTCTTAGTGCTATACAACTCAAAAAAAAAAATGGCAGCAGAACCATTAGAAGATATTAGAAAAGGCTACATGAGAGTTCTGAGTACCTACTCAAACTAAAAAGTGGCTCTGAAGAAATAAAATTAGTTTGAAGACCATCTGCACTTACACAGTAACCAACTCAAAAACACTGCATGAAACAGATTAGAAAATCAAAGAACCTTATCAAAGGAGTCTAGAAATGACAAACATCTGCAAAGAAAAACTCCATACCAAACTGTTAAAAGTATTTGTGGTTGACAGAAATTTTCATCTATAAGGATATAGACAGGTTATCAATATTCAACTGACAACAGATACACTAGTGTTTATGTTCTGTGCGTGCTGACACAGAAATACACATAATCCCACCTTTCAGCAGTATTTAAAAAGACAAAAGATATAAAGTTGCTTCCGGTGTCCTAAGGCTGAAGTGCAAGGAAAAACTATATTAACAGGAAGCAGAGTGGAGACTGTTAAGCAGTGGAAGTTCGCTTCATTACTGTCAGGGACTCTAGATTAAATTTCTTCCTTTTTTTTTTTTTTAATGTTTATTTTTGAGACTGAGAGAGGAGAGAGGTGAGGGAGAGAAATAGCAGGGGAGGGGCAGAGAGAGAGGGAGTCACAGAATTCCAAGCAGGCTCCAGGCTCTGAGGTGTCAGCCTGATGTGGAGCTTAAACTTGTGAACCCCGAGATCATGACCTGAGCCGAAATGGGTGGTTTAACCAACTGTGCCACCCAGGCGCCCCTGGATTGTATTTCTAGTATTGTCATTATATCACTGAATGGATCCACCCAAATAATTTCACATTTACTTCCTACTGTATAAAGTACAATACTGAGGTCCAGGCTTAACTTCTCTGGGTTTCTTTACCCATAAAACAAGGAATATATTAAATACCTAGCATATCTAATAGGGTTAGCTGGTAGATTAAATGAGACAAAAAAGTGCTTTGAATGGTATAAGTGAAAATGCTCCATCTTCCCAAGGGCTAAATGGAAAGTAGATTTCTAATTTTAATTAACGTAAGAAGTATACTTTTTCAGGGACGAAAAGAAGACACTAATTCTTGCCACAGCACTTTATGTATATTTATGTTATAGTAAAACCACAATTTATGTTGTGCTATAGTTACTTATATATACTGTTATTTTTTGGATAGGTGCTAAATCATATGGGTGCACTATTATATTATGTTTTTAGTGAAATATAACTGACATACAACATTATGTTAACTTGAGGTGTACAACATAATGTTTCGATACTTAATATTATGAAATGCATCATACTTTAATCATGCTATTTTGGTCAACATTCAATTTCCACTTTTTAATTTTGTTATTATATATAGTGTTAAGAGGAGCAACCATCTTGATAATTCTCTCCGTATCTCAGTGATTATTTCTGTAGATAAATTCTGTAGATATTACAGAATCACTGGTTTAAAAAAAATTGCATTCAGCAAGTTCAATCTGATAAAGAACTTCTCAACAAGTTCACTATAATAAGGCTACACAACACGTTTTTCTACTATAAACTACAAATTCAATAAAATCACATTAACAAAAACAGAACAAAGCCTCAACAAATGTGAAGAGCAAAATGACCATCCAGAAATTTTCTATATAGCATTTCCATATAGTATTTCCTTGGTATGAGGGTGAATGGAACAGGGATGACTGATCTACCTTGAACATGCCTGAGTTCAGAAGGAAGAAAACTAGTCCTAATGGTTCTGAGAGAGCTTAGAAATTGTTTCTATTTGTAATTGAAATTTGCAAACAGGATCTACATAAATATCTTTACTAAAGAAAAAAAAATGCAGTTTAAAGAAACTTTTGTTCCTTAAAATGGAAAATAACTATTACAAAGTTCGTAGATTATAATTTCCACTTCCTAGGGTAGGTATGCATTCAGTGGGAAGCAGCACATCCCAGTGTTGGTTGCTGTGAGAGCAGAAACACAGCTGATGGCAAGGCACACACCACAGCAAAGTCTCATACTTCAGTGAACAAATCAAAGGTGAAGCTGCATGGTACACTAAATTTGCCACCAGATGGCAGGATAGTTCCAAAAGTCTGCAGGGAGACCAAGCATTACCCAAAACAAATGAACCAGCCATTGTGCTTTCTAATTTAAAAGCAAACTAGTAGAAAATCATTCATATTTTGATGTAATTCCATTTTACTCATTTTATGAGGTAGTCAAGGAGGAAAGAGACTTTAATATGCAGCAATCAATTATGATCCAGGAAGCACCCAATGTGTGATACGGGTTACGGAGGGAAAAGAAAAATCGATCATCTTGTGACCACAGTATTTTAAAGTTAGAAAGGACTTTAGAATCTAGCCACCTCATTTTATAGATAAGGAAACCACTGCCAGGAGATATAAAGAAACTTGGAAAAGGCCACAGTGTTAATAGTAACTATAATTAAACTAAAGTTTTTATTTCGGTCCCAGAGTTCTTTTCACTACCAAGAATTATCATTATACCTAAAACCCCAAGCCAGTTATTTCTGACCCTATCTGCAAGGTTAAGACTTCAGACACAGATACCTCATTTCTTCTCTTCCAATGTATACAGATAAACTATAATAGTAAAACTTGATTTCAACAGCCTTAAGATCTTTAGATTATTAAAACAAAGTAACCAGCCAATAAGACCAAAAAAACCCAGCAAAACAAAAGCAGCTACAAATCCAGCAGGCTTAGCTTCTGTCATATTTCACATCAGCAGTCTAAAAGAACATGGTAATAGGACATATTTTCCCACATGAAAGAATTTCTTTTAATAGCTTCAAAATTCTTCAAATATTGTCTCTGGAAAAGCGAAATTAAGAAAACAGTCCCATTTACAACTGCACCAAAAATAATAAAATACCTAGGAATAAACTTAACCAAAGAGGTGAAAGCCCTGTACTCTGAGGATAACACAAATAAATGGAAAGACATTCCACGCTCATGGACTGAGAGAACAAATGTTAACACGTCCATACTGTCCAGAGCAATCTACAGATTTAATTCAGTCTCTACCAAAATACCAACATTTTTTACAGAACTAGAAAAATTAGTCCTAAATTTTGTATGGCATCACAACAGACTCTGAATAGCCAGCACAGTCTTGAAAAATAAGAACAAGGGGAGCCTGCATGGATCAGTCGGTTAAGTATCTGCCTCTTGATTTCAGCTCAGGTCATGATCTCACAGTTCCTGAGATCTAGCCCTGCTCAATCTATTTGGGATCTAATTGGGATTCTCTCTCTCTGTCCTGATCCCCGCTCACACGCATGTGCTCTTGCTCTCTCAAAATTAACATCTGAAAAAAGAAAAAGAACAGAAGTGAAGGTATCATAATCCCAGATTTCAAGATACACTATAAAGCTGCAGTAAGCAAAACAGGGTGGTACTGGCACAAAAACAGACACATAGATCAATGGAACAGAATAGAGAGCCCAGAAATAAACCCACAATTATATGGTCAATTAATCTTTGACAAAGGAGGAATGAATATACAATGGGAAAAAGACAGTCTCTTCAACAAATCATGCTGGGAAGATTGGACAGCAACATGCGAAAGAATGAAACTGGACCACTTTCTTACACCATACACAAAAATAAACTCAAAATGGATTAAAGATCTAAATGTGAGACCTAAAACCATAAAAATCCTAGGTGACAGCACAGGCAGTAACTTCTCTGACACAGGGCCACAGCAATATTTTTCTAGATATGTCTCCTGAGGCAAGGGAAACAAAAGCAAAAATAAACTATTGGGACTACATCAAAATAAAAAGCTTCTGCACAGCAAAGGAAACAATCAACAAAACTAAAAGACAACCTCCTGAACTGGAGAAGATATTTGCAAATGACATATATCCAATAAAGGTTTAGTATCCAAAATATACAAAGAACTTATACAACTCAACACCCAAAAAGCAAATAATCCAATTTAAAAACGGGTAGAAGATATAAAAAGAAATGACATACAGGTGGCCAACAAACATATGATAAGATGCTCAACATAACTAATCATTGGGGAAATGCAAATCAAAACCACAATGAGATATCATCTCACATGTGTCAGAATGGCTAGTATCAAAAAAGACAAGAAATACCAAGTGCTGGCGAGGATATGGAGAAAAAGGAACCCTTGTGAATAGTTCGTAGGAATGCAAATTGGTACAGCCACTATGGAAAACCATATGGAGGTTCCTCAAAAAATTAAAAATAGAATTACCAAATGATCCAGTAATTCCACTACTGGGTACTTACACATAGAATATGAAAACATTAATTAAAAAAGATATAGGCACTCCTGTGTTTACTGCAGCATTATTTACAACAGCCCAATTATGGATGCAGGCCAAGTGTCCATCAATAGATGAATGGACAAAGAAGATGTAGGGTGTGTGTATGTATGTATAGATATGTGCATGTGTGCATATATGTGCATGTGTTGTGTATACAATACATACACAACACACACACACATTCATTCTATGGTATATTACACAGCCAAAAAAAAAAAGGAATGAAAGAAATCAGTCTTGACGTATCTCACTTAAGCATTATACCCTCTAGATCCATCCATGTTGTTACAAATGGCCAGATCTTATTCTTTTTTATGGCTGAGTACTATTCTAACATATATATGTATAAATATACACATGTATACCACCTTATATGCATGTATGTATACACCATTTTATGTGTGTATATGTACATATATATACACCACCTCTTCTTTATCCATTCAACCTATTGATAGACACTTGGGCTGTTTCCAAAATTAGAGAAAGAAAAATACCATATGATTTCACTCCTATGTGGAATTTAAGAAACAAAACAAACAAAGAAAAAAAAGTGACAAACGAAAAATCAGACTCTTAAACTATAGAGAGCAAAATGATGGTTACCAGTGGAGTGGTGGCTGGCGGTGGGATGGGGGAGCTGGGAATGGGTCAAATAGGTGAAGGGAATTAAGAGAACTCCTATTGTGAAGAGCACTGACGGAGTAATATACAGAATTTTTGAATCTCTATATTGTACACCTGAAACATAACACTGTATATTAACTATACCGGAATTAAAATCTAAAACATTTTTAATAGTAAAAAATCTTTCCTCTGCAAATCTATTTTTTTCTTTATCACTTACAATATAAAAAAATCTACCTATAAAAGCAGTCATTTTATACTATGAAAGTTATATGACATTCGTGAACCACAAATGATATAGCATTTTAATACACACTTTAAAAAAATAGAATAAAATACCCTACCTAAAATAACCTTTACCATCATCTTCTTTTATTTCTAAAGACACAGAGAAGGTAAAGATGTCACTGTCAGGAGTTTGGGGTGCAGCAGCTGCTGAAAGTGGGGTCTGCTTGGCAGAACGGCGGAAGGCAGTAGCAAAACTGTAAAGTATCCGGCTGACCTACAACAGATGTGTTAGGCTGTTATCACAAGAAATAAAATACTTTTATTAAGGCTGAAGGTTACCTGCTTTGTGTATGTGTGGGGAGGGGGAGTAATACATCTTTCCCCCATTGATTTCTTTTGCTAAGTTATCATAACTTGTTAGGCCTAGAAAGCAAACAACATTAAAATGAGAAGCGGTTTTTAAAAAAGAAGTGATTGTGAACAAGAGAAATCCAACTGAAAAATAATTTCCTAAATTGTTAGAGATGATCTGAATATCTTTATTATAAAAAATAATCCTACAAAATTAGCTTTAAAAGAACAGTTTGTTAATGTGTGACTGCTGAAACCAAGATGCCCATTTAAGCCAATCAAGAAGCAGCCCTGGTCTCTGATACTCTCAGCAAGAAGATTGTGGTTCCCCAAACTTCTAGTTTCTTTATATTTCAGCCCATCAGGCTGGAATAAATAAAACATTAGCACAGAATTTCATTTGGCTTTTAAGTGACCATAATAAACACTACAATAACTTCAACACAGTGAGGGTACAGGTGAAGTTTCATTGGCAGACAGTTCTCGTAAGGACTTACAGCTTCTTGTATTTCGCACCGGAAGACATGTATTCTGAAGAGCTCTGCATTGTAATGACTTTCAGTGAAAGCGAAACAGTCACTCTCAGGAGTTCCATCATGCCCTCTGACACAGAACAGGATTTTGTAGATAGGGTAGTTTGCTATTTCAGTGTTTGTCTGAGGATCTAAGAGTCTGGTTAAAAAAAAAGATATAAAGAGCTTAGAGGGATTATGGACTATTTTCACTGTTATCCATATTATGATTCAAGACTCCTCTTTCTATCAAGATCATATAAACCATTTTTGGTATGCTAATCATATTAATTTTTAGTCTTGATAAATAAGTCATATGTGGATTACTGAAGTTATTAATACATAATTCCACAGTACTAAAACCTGTATCATCTTATACTTTTAGAGAGGCAATCAGAAAGACATAAACAATAAGTACATGTTTCTTATATAGTCTGTACGTAAATAAAGACTATATCAATGGGTAAACTAGAGTACCAAAATGAATCATTAAAGCTGTGCTTTTCCTTACCTCCTAAAAAATAACCTAATCTTCTTTCTTATTTAAAAAAATAGGAGTGCCTGGGTGGCTCAGTCGGTTAAGCAACCGACTTCAGCTCAGGTCATGATCTCACGTTCCATGAGTTCGAGTCCCACATCGGGCCTGCTTCAGATTCTGTATCTCACTCTCTCTCTGCCCCTCCCCTGCTCATGCTGTCTCTCAAAAATAAACAAACATGAGAAAAAATTAAAATAAAATAAAACAAAATAAAATAAAAAACTGGGGCGCCTGAGTGCGGCTCAATCGGTTAAATGTCCGACTTTGGCTCAGGTCCTTGAGTGTGAGCTCCACGTCGGGCTCTGTGCTGACAGCTCAGAACCTGGAGCCTGCTTTGGATTCTGTGTCTCCCTGTCTCTCTCTGCCCCTTCCCTGCTCACACTCTCTCTCTCTTTCAAAAATAAACATTAAAAAAAAAAATTTTTTTTTAAAGAATAAAAAACTGGGGTGCCTGGGTGGGTCAGTTGGTTAAGCGTCCAACCTCGGCTTGGGTCATGATTTCATGGTTCAGGGGTTCAAGCCCCACATCAGGCTCTGTGCTGATAGCTCAGAGCCTAGAGCCTGGAGCCTGCTTTGGATTCTGTGTCTCCCTCTCTCTCTGTCCCTCCCCTGCTTATACTCTGTCTCCCTTTTTCTCAAAAATAAAA